GTTAAATAAGCATGCTTACTGTCCCCAAAAGGTTATATCTTGTCCAGCCTCTGACTCCAGATTTCTCACAAACACGTAAATACTGCACACTAATAAATGTATTTTGTCTGATATATGTAATGAGATTGCCATTCCATACATCGGCTGAGGTGTTGGCTTTTTTGTTTCATTATTATTTACTAGTTATTTAATTTGTGCATAATTTTTTTAATTTAATTCTGACAGTCAACGCATTATCAGCGTCAGCTTTAAGATGACGAGTTTGTTGAGAACATAAGCAGAATGTCTCTGTAGCTTTAAATTATTATTCGGTCCTACTGCTCTATTGCTAATCATATTTACCGCTAACTAATATGCAGATTATTCTCATGGCGATCAAAACCGACACTTGTGCCATATAACAGTTTAGACATTTGTCGATTTTCTTTAGTTCTATAGGGTCCCTTGCTGAATAAAACAAAACTCTCGTAAATAACAATTTCCGGTATGTTAGGCTTACCGAAGACGTATACTACGGCATGGCAACGATTAACCGAAGTACCTGCGGCGAACTGAAAAACTCCCTGTGCCGGCATTGTCCCATCAAAGTTCAGCACCGAGCCCCGACGGTGACAGACCCGATCACCAAAGACCTACAGGAGGCAGCCTCATATTGCGTTCTCCTGATGACACGGCGCTGATATGGAAAACTGGGGAAGCAAATTCTGACGCATGAGAAAAGCAGTCTTCGGCTCAGCAAAGGCAAGTCGAAATACAAGAGTTGGTTCGGCTAGAAGAACAAAGGCAAAGCCAACGGATAGGTGAAGATGGCGAGCAGTCTGCTACCTGAAATTCAGGAATTTCCCTATCTCGGTCCAATCTCTAATGCAAACAGAAAATCGTCAGCGAGTTAAGAAATCGGTCGAAAAATACGTGGTGCACACGGCACACTTTCTGGTAAGAAGATGCGCTCCTCAGACGGAAGGGGAAATTTCCCCAACGTTAGTATGATAGGTTCTTATGTACGGAGAGGGATGGACGCTGGGTTACCCTGAATATACATGAACGACAGCTGAACTCTGTAGAAATGCGAATACTCAGATAGATGTACGGTGTCAGCAGAAAGGACCACATCCTGAATGACTTAATAAGAGGCTCTTTAGAGGTTCTGTAGCACCAATTGAGCAAAAGCACATTAACAGCATGGTTTGTTTGTTTGGCCTAAAGAAGATCTGACTAATACGTTGGAAACGTGGTCCAGGCTCACTGCCTACTGCCAGAAAAGAAAACAAAGTGATGGCCAAAGACAAATTGGTACGACGTGACAAATTCGATGTAAAACGAGGGAGAATTTTACTAAAGGCTCGAACTTGAATCCCTGTTCAGAGCAACACACCAGGAAGCAGAAGAACGATTCCTGAAAAATCAGTGCCTCATTTTGACTCCACGGGGAGGCAATTGCTACCGTGGATCAGGATTCTGTTGTCAATCACTTCATCGACCAGAAGAGCTAAAGAAGAGAATGACATAGCGCCATCAGTTTATTCCGTTTCAGATTCAGTCCACTTCAGATTTAACCCTTTGCCTGTAAAGGTTTCGTAAAATTTCTTCAAGAAGTATAAATACTGATTTAAAAAATAAGCTGCTTTGAGGTTGCTAAATTTTGTTCGTTGTATACTGAATATGTTTAAGTAAGACTGAAAACCGTGTAGGAGCAGTTGCCTCCTTGTTATCTTCTGCATGACCTCGTAACTAAGTACAGCCAGCATTATTTTTCATTGTACTCAGTCAGTTTTAGAAGCCATTTTGCGTTTTTAATCATGAGGTAGTGGTGTCGAACAACGTCACCGGTACCTAAGCCTGGAGCGAGTTTCACTGACGCATTTCCTCTATGCAATTATTGACTGGTCTCTAAACTGTCAATCTGTCAATCTGTCAATCTGTCTATCGTGCGAAGAATAGTCGCCTGATCAAACGCTGTAGACGTATTTTCCGAACATGTTAAAGACCATAGGTTTTGCGATTTCTCGGTCATGAAGAGTGAAATGCTGATTTGTCATACTTTCTTGAGAAACTACTACTGACAGTAGCCTCCCGTCCCACCGTTTCT